GCAGTGCCCTACCCAAAGGTGAGGTCATACCAGGCACTCTCGTCCCATGGCCTTGTGGCCCGAGGTAATGCAACCTCTGTGCCCAGGAGAGATTAAGTGCTGGATCCAAGGTAGGCAAGACAGTGATCCCTGTCCAGTGTGCCACCAACCTGGGGAGGAGATAATTGCAGCCAACCCCACTCTGCCCTGAACTGAGAGGCCATGGAGTGTACTGCCACACCCTGACCCTCCCGGTAACCCACATCCAGGTTCCTGGGAGGCAGAACAGGCACCAAAGCACCTGTTTCAGGGTGGCAGAGAGTGGAGGGAGGTGAAAGCAGATAGGAGTCTGGCTCCCAGTCCCTGGTGCATGCTCCATTGTACTACAGAGTTTATTTACAAACATAGATGTAAAGATAATGTTATCAAAAATTTCAAGCTAGCAACTGTAGAGCATTGCACCCTGAGTGTGGGCTCCCTCACGCTTCTGGGCTGGTCTTCCAAAGAGACTCAAAGGACACCTACCAATCCTCCTGCTAGAAGAAAAGCTGTTCTGAATGCACCCTGAGAGGAATGAAGCTGCAAACTTACCCCTGTAGCACTGACCTAGAGTCAGGAAGCTCAAATCGAGTGGTCAGTCAGGTGCAGCAGCACATGCCCATAATCCCAGTACTCTGCGAGGCTGAGGCAAGAGGTTTGGAAATTCCAGCCCAACCTGGGTAATTTAGTGAGACCCTATCTCAAAATAGAAAGTAAAAAAATCCCGAGTTAACTCAGCAGTGCCAGAGGGGAAAGCAAGGGGTAGAAGACAGAACAAGGAACTGCTGCGGCTATTGTGAAGGGCTCAGGAATGGTTTTGTCACCTTGCAGACAAATGGGCTCAAATCCAGCATAAAGAACCAACTTTGGTGTCCAGTATGGACATGAAAATTTAGCTGATCCAAAAAAAAAAACCCAAAAAAACAATATCTGGAGATTTAGCTCTGCAGCATAAGTGCCTGCCTGGCAAGCATGAGGTCTTGAGTTCGATCCCCAGGGCCAAAAAGAAAAAAAAGAAAAAAGAAAATTTAGGTGCTATAACAAAAAGAAGTCAAAATATTGTGGCCTAAAGGACATATAACTCCTCTACTGGCCAATCTCAATACTGGAATCTTATTTGGATCTTGGGACGAATGAACAGTAAAAAAAACAAACAAAAAATCTTTGAGGACATTTGAAAGTTTTCTTTTGACAATTGGAAATTTGAATCATGATTGAAATTTCCCTCAACATTTTATCAAAGACTTAGAAAAGCTGAAGATATTTGGAATGTGTGGTGGCACATGTCTGCAATCCCAGCACTTGGAATGCTGATACAGAAGGATAGCTGTGAGTTTGAGGCCAGCCTGGGCTCCACAGAGAGTTCCAGGTCAGCCTGAATTACATAGTGATGCCCTAATTCACCAATCAATCCGTATGAGTTTTCAAAGTAAATCAGAGATATCAGTATTTTCCCAAATATTTCAGCAAATGCCATCACCTACACTGCCTGGGTATTGGATTGTATTAAATAATCCTTAATTTTTATTCATGACATTGCAATTTTAGTTGTTTTGAAAGCCATATTTTAGAACTACATTCAGATATTTGTGGTGCAATGTTATCAAGCATAGTGCATTAGTTTCAAGTAACAAGTTATTCCAAAGTGTATCAGCTCAGAGCAGTAAATATTCAATGTTTGTGCGTCAGAAATCTGGGGCTGGGGGCTGGGGATTTAGCTCAGCCTTGCAAGCAAACAGTCGTGAGTTCGATCCCTGGTACCGATAAAAATGAAAATGAAAAACACCAAAAAAAAAAAAAAAGAAGAAGAAGAAGAAGAAATCTGGGGATGGTTTAGCTCTGTCACAATCATACAGTCCTGGGAGTGAAGCCAGCAGGAATTTGGCTGTTGTGGAAGGCAACGGGATTCAGAAGCAGGCTTTGGTGTCGCGCTGGTGCCACCTATTGGTAAATAAAACCACCTGGCTCTTTAACAATGAGACGGAGCTCCGAGCCTCTCTTGCCTGTAGTAGGCAAGCAGAGCCTTACAGAGGAGGACGTGTATTCCCCACTCAGCCTCACTTGCCTCTGCATTCCTTCCTTGCACCCTTTTCCTGTCCGTCTATCTCTCTCTCTTTCTTCTCTTTTTTCTTTCTTCCTGCCTTCTTTTTTTTTTTTTTTTTTGAGACAGGCTCTCACTATATAGCTCAGGCTGGCCTTAAACTCACTGTGGAACTCAGGCTGGACTTGAAGTCCTGATATCCTCCTGCCTCAGCCTCTAGAGCACTGGGTTTACAGCTGCGCACCACCATGCCTGGCTCACACATTTGCTTGTTTACTTGCTCGCTCGTTTTAATTTATTTAGCTCTTTCATTTTCTTTCTCTCTTTATTCATTTTTTCTTTATTCCTTTTCTACTTCCCTTTCTTCTTCTCTTTTCCCCTTTACTCTTTTTTCCCCTTCCCTTTTTTTTTTCCTTTCTTCAGTTTTTAAAAACAGGTTCTTGCTAATTGAATTTGAGGTCAGAACCTGCAATTACAGGAGTGTACCACTATGTCCAGCTTGAATTTTTTTTTTTTTTTTTTTTTTTTGAGACAGGGTCTTGCTCTGTAGATCAGGCTGGTTTTGAATTCACTACGTAGCCCAAGCTGGCCTCAAACTCATGACAATCCTCCTGCTTCAGCCTGCTGTGTGCCAGGATTACAGGCATGCACTACCACACCTGGCTCAAAATTAGCTCTTTTAGTTAAGAAAAACGTGGCCATCCCAAAATTAAATGAACAAAGGACATGAGTATACAATTATTTTATGCAATTAACAAATACTAACCAATTACCTATGTTTCAAAATAAATGTGTTTTCTGTAGTTGGAAGAATGTGGCACTTGGAACCTCACTTGTCAGTAGATGCGCAGGTGCGCACCCTGTTCAAAGGCACTGTAGCAATGTCTACAAAATGGCTTAAAATTATAAACATCTTTTTAAATGGCCACAAGGAAAAAGGACAAGAAACCTGTTTGTGGTTCCCAAATATTATTTGGGAAAGTAACAAGACATTAAAAGAAAAGAGAGCTCCCTAGAACATGACTATGTCAGGAAATGAACCAAGTGAGCTTGGAATATTTTGGGGTAGAGAGACAGCAAATGAGCAGAACTACTGGGGACCTATCAAAAGGGTGCAGTAGCCAGCTAGAAGAGACTCCCACACACAAACCATAGGACTATTTGAACTGAGGGCACTACTTAAATATCTACACATATAAATAGCACACACACAGCTATCATGACAGATAAGGAATCAATTCATTACTTTAAAATTCAATAAATAAAAGCAGCATTTCATTTCTTTCATTACTATACCAATGGACAACCAAATAGTAGTTGCAGGGAATATTTCCTTAATAAAAATATCCTTTTTCCTTTGTATCGGTACCAGGGATCAAACTCATGACTGCCTGCTTGGAAGGCAGGCGCTTATGCTGCTGAGTGAAACCTCCAGCCCCGATGGCATATACTTGTAATCCCAGCACTGTGGGAAGCTGATGCAGGACTGCAAATCTGACCCTAACTTTAGTAACTTGGTGGCTTAGCAAGATTCTATGTTAAAACTTGTTAAAAATGTAGTTTATAAAAGAAGAAATTGGATATCATGATTGTGCAACCCCTAAAAAAATTAACAAATTTATCAATTGAATATCAATGACTGCTAGCACTGTAAAGGACTGCAAGATTGACCCCAGTCTGGGCAACTTAGTGAGACCCTATCTCAAAATAAAAACATAAAAAAGGGCTGGGCATGGAGCTCAGTACAAAGGTCTTGGATTTAATCCCCAGTACTGAAAAATAAAAAAATAAACGAGTCAGGCATGGTTGCACATGCTTGTAATTCCAGCATTTGGGAGGCTGAGGCAGAAGGATTACTGAGAGCTGGAGAAAAAAGCACAATGGTAAAGGGCTTGCCTAGCATGTGTTCAATCTCCAGCGCCACAAAGTAAATAAATAAATAAATAAAATTAAAAAACAAGTTGTTGCATGGTGAAAAAGAGGTAGGATGCATAGACTGAGGTTTAAGAGACATGGTAATTAACTATAATTTGTGGAGATTACTCACTGATTTAAAAAAACTGACATGCAGGAAAAACAAATTTGAACACGATCACATAAGTGTGTGTGTGTGTGTGTGTGTGTAGTATCAATCATTTTTAGGACAAATTCTTTAATGTTGTGTGATGTGTTTTAGCAATGAATGCTGACATACAGATGCAATGATAAGATCTGTGGTATTTACTTAAAAAGTAAGGAAAGTGAGGGAGGTGGGTGGGAATGTAGACAAAACTGGTCATGGGCTGATAAATTATTTAACCTTGTATTGGGGCCACTGGGGTTTATTATAAGATTCTGTATAATTTTGTATATGTTCAACTTTTTTTTAAAATAGTGGGCTTGAACCTGAGTGGTGCTGACACACATCCCCAGCGTTTTTAATTTTATTTTTTTAAATTTTGAGATGGTGCTGGGCATCTATCTCAGTGGCATACAGTGCCTGTCTGGCAAGTGCAAGGTCATGAGTTCAATCCCAGCACCACCAAAAACAAAATTTTTTTTTGAGACAGAATCTTGCCATGTTGTTCAGGCTGATTTGTAACTTACCCTTAGCTTCTCAAATAGCTGAGACTCCAGATGTGCACCACCACACCAGGCTCAACTCTTTTTCACAAGTTTTTTTGTTTTTTTTTTTAAATCAGTACCAGGGATCAAATTCACAACTGCCTGCTTGCAAGGCAGGCGCTTATGCCGCTGAGCTAAATCCCCAGCCCCACACAAGTTATTTTTTAAAAAGTATATGTATTTTGATCTAGCATTTCCAAGAATTCTTTTTTTTTTTTTTTTGGTACTGGGGGTCAAACTCACGACCTCTTGATTGCCAGGCGAATGCTCACACCGCTTAGCTAAATCCCCGGGCCCAAGAATTCATCTTAAAGATATATCACACATACAAATTAACTTACGTGTAAGGGAGATGTTTATTAGGATTGTTTGAAAGTAATCAAAAAACCTCCTCTAAATAGGGTTAAAGTGTAAAACACACATAAGGGAACAGTAAGGATTTGTTAGGAAAGTGAAGCAGCTATGTATGAAGATGTGTGGCTAAGAGGAAAGAGTAAGGTATAACAAGTTGCTATCACGGTATAAAAAGTTTTAATAAAGTGTATGTTTGTGCTTACGGAAATATAAATCATCAAGTACACAAACAATATACTGATATCAGTTATTGTCTCATAATTTAACAGTACATAGCCTGGCATGGTGACCATGCCTGTAATCCCAGCACTTGGGAGGCTGAGGCAGAAGAATCACTGTGAATTCAAGGTCAGCCTGGACTCCACTGTGAGACTCTGTCTCAAAAAAATTATGTATGTGCGTGTATGTGTATACATATATATGCACACTTATACATACATACATACTGGAATCAGTTATTGTCACAATTTATAATTTTTTATCCTATGGATATCCTTTAACTATGCAATGGAGCAATTTTTAATGTTCAGCTTTGAGCTTCTCTAACTACTACTCTTTCCCTTTCTCTTTTTGGTGCTAGGAATTGAACCCAGGGCATTTTGCATGGTAGGCAAGCACTCTACCTCAACTGTACATTTTAATCACTAAATAACTTAAAAATACGACATACAGAATATTAATCTTCTGTAAGCAACGGACATGCAGAAAATCTAGGTTTCTGGCCAACACTCAGGGTGTCTGGTAAGAGGTTGGCATCAGTGCATCTGACCCCCTGCCCCAGAGTCTGGCTGCCCCAAGTGTGAGGGGATCAGTTTCTTGATATTCCTGAGATTCATTCACAAACCCTGACCTGTCACTGGAGTTCAGTCAAGGATGTCTTCATCATTACTGTGACTTTCTAGTTACAATACCAAAATTCTGAAAACATAAATTAATCCAAAGCAGGTGAAGTCTCAAACATTAAACTTAAAAATTAGTTTTTTAATTGAGTACTGGCTTAAATAAGCAGGAATTTTACTTATATTTATCTCTTCATAAATGACAATAATCTACAATTTTTTTTTTTTGTCTTTTTCCTTTTTTTTTTAATCGGTACCGGGGATTGAACTCACGACTGCCTGCTTGCAAGGCAGGTGCTTATGCCACTGAGCTAAATCCCCAGCCCCCTACAATTTGTTTTTTGAGAAGTATATAAACTGTAGTTCTTTTCAAAAACTTTTCCTTAATGTTTTGTTAATCAGAATTTTATTTATCCTTCAAAATAAACTGGCCAGCTTCCAGTGGGGCATAGTGGTGCATGCCCATAATCCCAGCACTCAGAAGGCTGAGACAGGAGGATTACTGAAAATTTGAGTCCAGCCTGAGCTACAAAGTAAGCATCTGGGGGCTGAGGATTTAGCTCAGCAGCATAAGCACCTGCCTTGCAAGCAGGTGGTCGTGAGTTCAATTCCTGGTACCAATAAAAATGAAAAAGACAAAACAAACAAACAAAGTAAGCATCTGTGGCAGCCAGAACTGCATAGGGAGACCATGTTTCAAAAACACAACAAGCCAGGGTTTAGCTCAGCAGTGTGTCTCCTTGGCATGTGCAAGGTCGTGAGTTCAATCCCCAGTATCAAGGGAAAAAAAATTATCTGTTCCTTGAAATTTCTGTAGATTAAAACGTTTCCTGCTAGGCATAGTAGTAAACACTTATAATCCCAGCACTCTAGAAGGTTGAGGCAGGAGGATTACAAATTTGAGAGGATTGCAAGATCCAGTCTAGCTGAGTTAACTCCGTAAGAATCTGTAAAAAAATATATATATATGTATATATGTATGTATAAGTGTATATATATATATATATATATATATATATTTTTTTTTTTTTTTGTACCAGGGATTGAATTTAAGACCACGCATTTGCAAAGTAGGTACTTATGCCACTGAGCTAAATCTCCAGCTCAGCAAAATATTTTTTTTAAAGGGATGGGATGTAAGACCCTGTATTCAATTCCCTGTGCCATCACGCTTTTTTTTTTTGTACTGGGGATTGAACTCATGACCTCATGCTTGCCAGGCAGGCACTTACGCCACTGAGCTAAATCCCCAGGCCCCACACATTGTTTTATTTTATTTTGGTATTGGGGATGGATGAAAGTCACGACTTTGCATTTGCCAAGCAGGCACATATACCACTGAGCTAAACCTCGGCCCCTACATACTTTTTTTTTTTTTTTTTATCAGTACCAGGGGCCAAACTCATGACCACGCACTTGCAAGGCAGACACTTATGCCACTGAGCTAAATCCCCAGCCTCTTACACACTTTTTAAAAATCTCTTTTGTTTCGTGATGCTGGGGATCATTCATGCTTGATAAACACTTTACACCACTGCACTATGATGTCCTTATGCTCTAAAGTGGTTGCTTTCGAAGGGAGAAAGTTTTGATGAATTTTCTTGTCCTTTCATAATCACTGATTTATTTAGGCATTCCACATCTTGAACCAATTTGATATTTTTGTAAAAATCTGTTCTCTAGCTTTTCAAATATATTAGAATGAAGTCATACACAATAAGTTGTTTTTTAAAGTTTCCATTCCCTTTGTATTTGTTAGAAGACATTTGTAAAGTGTTCTCTTATTGTACTGTTAAATAACAACTTTTAGATTATGGTTACTATTTTGGTTTTCATTTTAAAAACTTTTTTTTTTGGTGCTTTGATAAGGGTGTCACTATATAGTTTAGACTGGCCTTAAACTGATAGCTATCTTCCTATCTCAGCTTCCTGTATGCTGGGATTATAATAACATTTTTACTTTTAATCATTCTCACTATTGATTTGGGTTTATGTTGTGATTCTTTTCTAACATTAGAATATCATTCATTCAACATGCTCAGTATGTGACTGGGAATGACTAAGTGCCAGAGATCTGTGCTTGGTGACAAAACTCCTAACTTAAATCCTTGAGTTCTTTTTAGAGTACAGCTTTGGCAACAACGAACCGTTTTGGGTTTTTTGTTGGTACCAGGTATCGAACTCATGACCTTGTGCTTGCCAAGCAGGCACCTGTGCCACTGAGCTAAACCCCCAGACCCAGTGAACTGGTTTTTAATATGCAGAATTTACTATTATTCATGTCTAGGTTGTAGGTTCTTGTGGTTTTTTTTGCAACTCTTGATGGTCTAAATTCCCCAAGCTGCCTTGTACTTGATGATTCTCCTGCTTCAGCCTCCTAAATAACTGGGATTGTAAGCGTGCACCATTGTGCCTGGCTGTAATTTCAGTTTTAATTTCTTGTTAGACTAAGTTACACTGACGGATGATTTTAGATTTCTTCACAGGTACATTTCTTTTGGTTACTCTTAATTTCTATATTTCAGGCTGGCCTTGAATTCACTATGTAGCTCAGGCTGGCCTTGAACTTGAGGTAATCTTTTTGGCTCAGCCTTCTGAATTCTGGGATTACAGGCATTTGCCACTATACAGGCTAAATGAAGGCCTTTTTTGTGATAATTACGGCCTTATTACTGTTTTTTTGGAATGAAATATTATAAATGGATATGACAGCTTTTAGATCCTTGATATATCCATAAGTTCCTCCTTACACATGACCTGATACAACAAAATTAATGACAATAGCTAGTACTTACTGAGCACATACATGTTCCAGATATGATTAAAGGCTTTATAAAAAAAATAGACTTAGTCTTCATGAGAACTCTCTATTAGGTAGATATAATTATCACTTAAAAATAAGTGAAAAAAGTAAGGAAATGAGGGACACAGATTACAAAAATTTCCCTAATGCTCTACAGTCAGTAACAATGGAAATGAGAAGATAATGTCAAGTAAGGTCACCGTGAAAAAAGGCACTTTCACATTTTCTTTTGAGGCAAGGTCTTGCTATGTTGCTCAGGCTGGTTTTGAACTGCTGGGCTCAAGTGATCCTCCTGCCTCACCTTCCCAAGAAACTGGGACTACGAGTGCTCACCCCTGCATTGGTCATTTTCTATTTGGAATTCTCAAAAATTTAACATATTTCAAATGTAAATAGAAATCTGGTCAAGATTCTTATTAACTTTTTATTTATTTTTTTTTTTTTTTGGTCTTTTTCATTTTATCGATACCAGGGATTGAACTCACGACGCACACTTGCAAGGCAGGCGCTTATGCCGTTGAGTTAAATCCCCAGCCCTTCTTATTAACTTTTTACAACACAGATTTTTCTGATGCTTAGTAAACAGTAAGAGAGACAAAAAGAACTCTCACATTTATTGAATTTTCTTATTGGTATGTGTTGCCTAATGTTCCACAATAAAAGTGACCAATGAAGGTTTTCTGACATTATTTATATTGATACAGATCTAATACTGAGCCATGCCTGAACCAATACAGAGGCTTTTCTATGTCCCTTGCATCTGGGGTTTGCTAACTAGTATGGATTCTGTAGTGTTCAATGAGCTGAGAGCCAAGGACAAAGGCCTGCCCACACTCTCTGCATTCATAAGGCTTGATGCCAGGATGGATTCTCTGATGTTCAGTAAGCTGTGAACTACGGATGAAGGCCATCCCACATTCCCTACATTCGTAGGGCTTCTCACAGGTGTGAATTCGCTGATGGTGGGTTAGCTGTGAAACACGAATAAATGCTTTCCCACATTCCTTACATTCGTAAGGCTTGTCTCCTGTATGAATTCTCTGATGCTGAATAAGGTAGGAACTGCGACTAAAGGCCTTCCCACAGTCCGTGCATCCATAGGGTCTGTCCCCTGTATGAACTCTCAGGTGTCGTGTGAGCTGTGCATGCTGTCTAAAGGCCTTCCCACATTCCTTACATTCATAGGGCTTCTCCCCAGAATGGATTCTTTGATGCCGAGTAACTTCTGAGCTGTGAATAAAGCCCTTCCCACATTCTTTACATTCGTAGGGCTTCTCCCCAGTATGGATCCGCTGATGGACAGTCAGCTGCGAGTGCTGTCTGAAGGCTTTCCCACACTCTTTACACTGGTAGGGCCGAGCACCTGTGTGAATTCTGCGATGAACAGTAAGTTGTGAGCCCCGGATAAAAGCCTTCCCACAGTCTTTACACACGTAGGGTTTCTCACCTGTGTGAGTTCTTTGATGCAGAGTAAGTTGTGAATGCTGCCTAAAGGTCTTTCCACATTCTTTACATTCATAGGGTTTGACACCAGTATGAAGTCTCTGGTGTAGAATAAGCTCTGAAGTTCGACTAAATGCCTTCCCACATTCCTTACAGCTGTAAGGTTTCTCACCTGTATGAATTCGCTGATGTTGAACAAGGTGTGAGGCCCGGCTAAAGGCCTTCCCACAATCTTTACAATCAAAGGGCTTTTCACCAGTGTGAGTTTTCTGATGTTGACTAAGGTGTGAGCCACGGCTAAATGCTTTCCCACATTCACTGCATTCAATCAGTTTCTCGCTTGTCTCACTGTGCTGATGGGGAGTGCGGGATTTGTGGTGCTTGGAACTGGGAATATTTTCATAGGTGACTTCCACTTGCTTGAAACAGCACTCCTGATTTGCTTCTTGTCTCTCAAATTGGCCACTGCATTCCCAGTCACCTCTAAAACTAGAACCCTCAAAATCACAGTTTTCAAGAGTTTCCATTACCTCCCAACCGAAGGACTTTATTTCAAAAACATGTTTTTGTGAAACTGTCTCACATCTGGACTCCAAACCTGAAAAATACAAGAGAAAATTAAACACAAGCTATTCTCACACAAAGAACTAGCATGTATTATGTACATATGCCATCTCCTCATGAAGGATGTGACCACAAACATGCACTGATAAAATTAAAAATTAAAAAAAGAAAAAAAAGCTATTCTAGGAAAAAGAAAACATTCTATAGTAAAGCAGAGAAGACAAAATGAAAATAATAGCCATAAAAAGTGAATAGCGGGCTGGGGATTTAGCTCAGCGGCATAAGCGCCTGCCTCATAAGTGCGAGGTCATGAGTTCAATCCCTGGTACCACCAAAAAAAGAAAAAAAAAAAAAAAAAGTGAATAGCTTACATAAGTCTCAAATATTGGTCAATTTCTAAAAATCATACAAAAGCACTTCATATGGCAGCAGAAAGCAGCAAGACAAAATAAGTCAGGTTCTCCATTTTGATATGGATCAGAATCATCCAGGAGGTGTATTAACCATGCACATGTCCAAGCTTCGCCTCAGACTGAATCAAAATCTACAGGAGCTGCGCCAAAGAGCGTGTGTGTATGTGTGTGTGTGTGTGTGTGTGTGTGTGTGTTCATATATATTTTTTTTAATTTTTAAAGTCTCTATGATGCTAGAGATTGAACCTAGGGCCTCACATATATGCATATTTTAAAATTGAGTTTAAATTTACCTAATAAAATTTCCCTTTAAATCATCTTGAAATGCACAATTCAGTGGCTTGTAACATATTCCCACTCTCTAGTCTGAGGGCACTTCATTATCCTATGTAGAATCCCAAGACCCTGAGCCAGGCACAGTGGCACATATCTGCAGTTGCAGTCCTCTGGGAGGATCAAAAATCTGAGCCCAGGTGGGGTGACTTGGTGAGACCCTTGGTGAGACCCTGTTGCAAAATAAAAAATGGACTGGGGATGTAATTCAGTGGGAAAGCCCTGAGGAATTCAACGCTCAGCACTATGGAGGGAGGGGAGAGAGAGGGAGAGAGAGAAGCGAAACAAAACAAAACAAAATACAACCCAACACCCATAAAACGTCTATCCCATTTTCTATTCCCTCCATCCCTGGGGAGCCACTACTGATTAGGCAAAGAGCCACTAATTCTATCTTTATGTCTTTGCCTATTCCAGACATTCCACATAGACAAAGCATTTCTACTTTTTAAAATTTGTATGTTTGTTTTTCAAAATAGGGGCTTGCTATGTTGCCCAGGCATGATTCTCCTGTCTCAACCTCCCAAGTAACTGGGATTATGGGGCATGCCATTGTGCCCAATTTGAGGCAATCTCCGTAACATGCCCCATCATGTAATATTGAGGACAAACAAAATGAGAATCTCTGCTTGAATTTCTCACTGCCTTCCTGCTGTGCTGGGAGAACATTCCAAATGCACTGCATGGCTCACAACACTCTTAGCAAAGTGGGTCCTTGCTGTCTTTCTTATCACTGTCTCAACTACAGACAATACATCATCACAATGAGAACTCTCTTCTCTCCTACCTTTGTACCAAACCACAGGCTTCCTTTGAGCATCTAGAATAAACATAGGCCTTTTTCACCTCAGATCACTTAACAGGTCCTGTGCTCTCTACATGCTCTTTTTTTATCTTTCAGGTCTCAGGTCTCAGACGAAAACTCACTTTTAAAAAAGCGTTAGTTTGCTAACCTTAAGCATGCACATTTATTCTCTGTCTTGGTTACTTTTTTCTTGTTGTTGAGACAAAATATCTGATGCTTAAAATTAGGGAAGGGAAGTTTATTTCTTACAATTTTGGAGGTTTCAGTCCTTACTCGGCTGGCTCCCAGGCAGGGTGACATGGCAGTGCCATGGTTTATGGCCCCTGCAAAACAGCTAGAGTGAACCCAGCAAAAGAGAAAAGACATGCCTTCATCCTGCCCTTACATTGTATGTTGGCTCCACCCCTGGGCAGGTGTAGCATTCATACCACCAATCCTAGTGCTAGACAACGAACCAATTATGAATGCTAGATTCAGCCATGTCCATGATTGCCTGAGGCTTAGGGGGGTCATCTGAACACAAACTATAACATTCTCTTTTGCAAGGCTGTGCCCTGCCCCCCTATACACTTTTATCAGTAATAATTATGTTTCCATATATTTATCTATTGATGTATTTGGTTTTTTGTTTTTAAATTTCTCCAAATGCAGAAATTATGCTTTTCTCAATAGTGACTGTAATCAACTCCTAGCATAGAGTAGATTTTTGGTAATGGATTTGGGGATAAAGATTGGATTCCAAGTAGACAGACTAGTAGAGCACAATAAAAAGAACAGAAATAGACTGAACTCTATTGAAATTGAATATACTATAAGGCAGTATCTCAAAGGGATAAACAGAAGTTTTTATAATAAATAGTATCAGGGTAACTCAAAGGCTTTTGTAATAAATAGTATCAGGGTAACTGAAAAGAAAAATCAGATCTATATATTAGGGTACCATATACCAGAATAATCTCCAAATAGGCTTTTCCCCCTAATTTTCAAGTTGAACAAATAATGCAGGGAATGATAGTATAGCTCAGTGGTAGAATGGGTACTTAAATGACAGTGTGCTCAGTTATTTTGGGTAAAGCTTGAATTCAATCCTAGAACCAAAACAAAAATAAAAAACCCAAAAGATAAAAACCCACAAGCCAGTATATTATTATAAAGTACAGTCACCTTTTTGTACAAAGATCCCTTGAACTTACTAAGTACAACTCTGTACCTAAGTATTACATCTCCCTGATTACCTTCTCTCCTCACCCAAAATCTGGTAATTATATTATCTCTTCTCTTTTGTTGACTTTGATCTTTTTAGATTTTACATATAACTAAGGTTATGTGGTGTTTGTCTTTCTGTGTCTGGCTTATTTCACTCAACATACTATCTTTTAGATTCATCCATGTGTGAGAAATAGCTATGTCTTTTCTATCAAACAGGAGTGCCTCTATTTTGGACTCTAGTGCACCCTAGGCAGCCCATCCTGAACACACCAAGTTGTGAGAAATGGCTGCTCTGTTTAATCTCCAGGAATACAGCTAACAACTAAAGATAACTTACTAACCGTCAAGGACTTTCAGTGCCCCATATTCCTACTCTCCCTTCCCTTAATAACTCTGCCCAGCAACCCTTTGTGCCACTTAAACTAGCCAATCCGGATAGATAGTAAACCTCAACCCAACCAATGGGAAAAATGGTCAGTTGCTTCTCCAGCAAGGGATAAAAGGAGCAACACTCCTTTGTCCTGTGTGCCCGATACCTCATTGCTATGGCGTGCCCGCACCCTTTTGTAAAAGTAAAAAGCCTTGTCGAGAATTCTTGGTGTCTGAGTGCTTATCTGCACTAGCAAACTGAATCTGGGAACTTATTTCCAACCAGTGTTATGGCAAATAACAAAGACTTACTTCTTTTTAAAGGTTAAATAGTATTTGCCTTAGTTACTTTTCTTGTTGCTGGGGCAAAATACCCAACATCCAAAGTTAAAGGGGGAAAAGTTCATTTAGCTCACAGTATGTAGAAGTTTCAGTCCATAATTAGATGGCTCCAAGGCAGGGTGGCACAGCAGAGAACAGTTCATCGCACCCACAGGGCAGCAAAAGCACCAAGGGAGAGGAGACAAAACTCTTTATGTTGCTTATATCGTTTGCAGGCTACCTGCTCTAGGGTGGGTATAGCACTCACATACTTAATCCTACCCAGAACTATGCCAAATCAAAGAGTGTGGTTAATAATTCATTAACCATATACCCTAATCCCAGCTTCATGCACTCTAGATTCAGCCACCTCTGAAAAAGCTCTATGACTGCATGAGGCTTTGAGGGAACATCTAGACACAAACCATAACAATATTCTATTGTGTATTAAGCATATACAACATTTTCTTTATCCATTCATCTATTGATGGACTCTTAGGTTGACTCCATATTTTGGCTTTTGTGACTAATGCTGCAATAAAAATGGGGGTGCAGATATGTTTTTGACACAATGACTTCATTACTATACTCAGAAGCAGGACTGCTACATAATTGGTAGTTCTAGTCTTAACTTTCTGAGGAAACTCTACTGTTTTCTATAATGGCTATACCAATTTACATTCCCATCCACTGGGTACAAGGGTTCCCTTTTGCCCACATCCTTGCTAATACTTGTTATCTGTGTCTTCTTGTTTTGTTTTGTTTCTTGAGACCGGATTTTTTTTGAAACTATGCATTTCAGGCTGCCCTTGAACTCACTATGTAGGCCAGGCTGTCCTCAAACTAACAGCTATCCTACAGCCTCAGTCTCCCAAGTACTGGGATACAGGCTTGTACCACCACTCCATCTTAGCTTTGTCTTTTTGATAACAGCTATTCTAGTAGGTACAGGTGATATATCATTGTGGTTTTAATTTACATTTTCCTGATGACGAGTGACGTTAAACATCTTTTTTCACACTTTAGCCCACTTAGATATCCTCTTTTAAGAAATGTTAACCTTTACATAGGCCTTTTACTCATTTGAAAATAATATTTGTTCTTTTGCTATTAAACTGAATTCCCCAGATGTTTTGGATTTTTTTTTTTTTTTTTGAAATAGGGTCATGTGTGGTTCATACTGGCCTCGAACTCATGGCAATCCTCTTGCCTCAGCCTCCCAAGTTCTGGGATTGAAGATGTGTGCCACCATGCCCTGCAGAAAATGAAATGTAAAGATACTATTTCATATCATTCTTCAGTTAAAGAAAGCAGGCTCCTCTATGGAGTAGTTAATTTCAGGTCTGAGGCAGGAAAAATACATGGTAAGCCTGGAATAAGAACTATGTGCACTGGTTTATGCTTATTCTTACAGCTACTTGAGAGGCTGGTGTAGGAGGAGTCCAAGTTCAAGGCTGGTCTGGGCAACTTACTAAGAATCTTTCTCAAAAAAGGTGAGTATAGCCAGGCATGGTGGCACATGCTTGTAATTCCAGCACTTGGGAGGCTGAGGCAAGAGGATTGCCATGAGTTCGAGGCCAGACTAGGATATATGAGTTCAAGCCCAAGGTGTACTACATAGTGAGACCCTATCTCAAAAAAAAAAAGGTAGTGTCCGGGGATATAGCTCAGCAGTATAAGTGCCTGCCTGGCAAGCACAAGATCCTAAATTCGATTCCTGGCACAAAAAAAAAAAAAAAAAAAAAAAAAAAAAGTTGGGGTGAGGGATATGCCAGTGATAGAGAACTTGCCTCGAATGGAAGAGACTTTGGGTTTCATCCCCAGTACTACGAAAAAGGTGGGGGGACATGGTGTGGTATCATAAAATATGGAAGTACTTAAAAAAGAATGAGGGCAAGGCTGGAGACATAGCTGTTGTCGAATGCTTGCCAAGTCAAGCATGTATAAGAATCTAATTTCAATCTATAGCAGGAAAAAAAAAAGCATGTTGAGTGAACCCAGGCGCCAGCCCAAAGGAGTTCTCCTTGATTGTTTGAAGAATTTGAGCAATGAAATAATTAAAGTACTGACTTCAATCCACAGACTAAAATAAATATTCCTGAGCCCACAAATGACTAAATGAATAAATAAATGAATGAACGGGAGGGGCAGGAACAGCTCTTCTTAAAGAATTTCTCTTAATAAATGATAAAAGGAATAAGGGACACAAAAATTAAGCAAACACCACAGTAATAGTTGATACATGCCCATAATTCCAGCACTCTGGGAAGCTGAGGCAAGAGGATCTCAAGTTCAAACTCAACTTTTAGCAACTTAGCAATTCAGCAACACCCCACCTCAAAATAAAAAAATTTTAAAAGGCTACAAATATAGCTCTGTGCAAAGGCCCTGGGTTCAACCTTCAGTACAGAGAAAGAGACAGAGACAGAGAGCTACAGAAAGAGAGAGAGAGAGACAGAAAGAAAATACAAGTTCAAAATTACTTGATGGAAAAGTGTTAATAAAACATAAGGAAAACAAAAATAGTTAGAAATGGGAAAAACGAGTAATAGAAAAATATAAAACAAAATGATGCAAGTAAGAATGGACATTGAACCAGCATCTTCTGAGATCTATGCCATGTTGGAACTTAGGGCATTGGGAAAGAAAGAAATCCACTTGCCTCCCTGGTAAGCAGCTGTGTGCCTACAGGTGTGCGGGCTGAGAATCAAACACCCCCGACCCCATCAGCAAATGGGAGCCAGAGGACTGAGCATCTCATGGGAGGATGACCCTATGCAATATAGCAAATATGGGGGATTTCCTTCTACCATCTCTTTGAAATATTGTTATCACTGACTGTTTTGCTTTGTTCTGATTAATTGTATTGCTCTATTCAATATTCTGTTTTGATAAGTTCTGTAATGTTCTGTATTTAGTGTGATTTTGCCATACTTGATTGAAAGGACAACTGTTGTAAAGATAATGAGACATACTATGGCACCTATTACTGTTATCCTGGCAACCTGCTGTGACGTTCTGTACCAATTTCATTGCATTATCTCATTTGGCTTTGTTCTATCTCGTTCTGCTGTGTTTTACTACTTTCAAAATAATAAAAGATTTTTTAAAAAAGAATGGACATCAACTTTAACCTCAAATGAAAATGAACTGAAATCCCTTTTTGCTAAATCTAGGACCCTCAGACTGATTGAAAGAGGAAACTAACAGAATCCTGGCCACAGTGTACACACATTAAACAAAGTGGTAATAATACTAGCTACTAAGTGACAGACTCAGGATTTGAATTTAGGTAGTGAACTCCAAAGTCTGTGCTCTCAACCCTATACAACCATAACTCTCAAAAGTGAAGAGACTATATGAATAATTGAACTCCTGAATTCAAACAAAATAAGAAGCATGTTTTTTCTCTCTTTCTTTCCTTCATTTTCCTCTTTTTTCCCCTTTCTTTCTTTCCTTCTTTTCCTCCCCTTCCTTTCCCTTTTCCCCTTTCCTCTTTTCTCTCTTTTCCTTTGCTTTCCATTTCTTTTTCCTGTCTCTCTCTTTCTTCTTTTCCCTTTCTCTCTTTTTTTTTCATTCTTCTTCCCTTATTTCCCTTTCCCTCTTTCAGTGTCTTTCTCTTGTTCTTTCTTGCTTGCTTGCTGTTCTGGGGATGGAACCCAGGGCCTTCACACTGGACTACCTCCCAACCACTATTTTTATTTTTTTATTTTGAGACAGAGTCTCATGAAGTCCCTAAATTGCCAGGCGAGGCTCAAACATGATTCTTCTGCCTCAGCCTCCTGACTGCTGAGACCATAGGCATGTGCCACTGTGCCCAGCAGCTTTAAGACAACATTTTTTTTTAAGGCATGAAGAAATTTGCAGGAAAGAAGAATTCAGAGTACCTGTACAAAGGCAGCCACTGGGGAAGAAAAGGACACATACCTTTTTGCAATAGGAAGGAACTGTGAGATAGAGCAGAGAGGAACTAAATGGAGAGGGAAAGGTTCCCTTGGGAGCCGATGCTATGCTCTTTACGGCTGTGCTCCTCGCAGCCAGGCTGTGACAGAGCTCCTGACAAAACTTCAAGCTACAGCGACCAGTTGACTCACTCACCGGACTATTATCCCGGAGTCTCCCCCGCAGGATCAGCCCTTGCTCACCTTGATACCATGGTCCTATTAAGTCATCGGTAATCATCCATGGCTCTTTTCCTTGCTCTAATAGGGAGATGACATCAGGTTTTGAAATAGAAAGTCCTGTTTAAAGGAAAAGAAATGGAAAATGATCATACTGTTCTAAAATTCAAACTGAATCCCTTAGCCACCAGGGAATTGGGGCAATGATAAGGAGGAAGGAGTGAATCTGGCCAAAAGATAAGAGAGGCAGATGGAGGGAACCAATCAAGTTACTCATTCTTTTTTTGGTTACCAGGGATTGAACTCACAACTTTGCACTTGCCAAGCAGGCACTTATGCCACCAAACTAAATCCCCAGCCCAAACTACTCACTCTGGACTCTACAAAAGACAAATAATTCTCTTGGTAACAAAGGACAGAAATTCACTTATAAACTTATAAGTTGTCTTAGAAATTCATAATGAAGAAACCAGAAATTCCAGAAGGCTGGTCCTAAATTATATGGAATTGCTAAGTAGGGCAATTTCACTGCATTAGCGCTCTCCTTCCCTTCCAATTCATTCCTTAGATGGCCCTGCTCTGTGCTGGGCTTTTGACCACGGATATTCTGCTTGCAGGGACTGGGTCACCCTGTCATGTGGCAGAAGGAAAGCATGAGCATGTGAGCAGGAGGAGGAGGGGGAGTGTAGGGCTTGTCTTGCTCTGTCCTCCCTCCTTAGAGCCTGGAATCTGGAAGGAGGCACAGCTGGCACTGCGGCAGCATCTCCAGGGGCACCGCTTCCTGTCACTCCTTCAGGCCTGAGGTAGAATCAGCCAACTCCCAGCATTGTTGTCCCTGGTGCTTCACTTTCCACCTTCCCCAAGTGACCACTAGCCATACCTAGTGTGACCAAGTGACTGAAGTTCTCCAAAGTCACATCTCTGTACAAGTCCCTCTGGGAAGGTTCCAGGCACTTCCATTCTTCCTGAGAGAATTCTATGGCCACATCTGTGAATGTCACCAATCCCTGAAATAATAAGCTCATACTTTAATAATACAGTAAAGGATTTTTCTTTTTTAACTTTTCCCCATTTTTGTGAATCCACAAATGCTAAGCAAAATAGGCAAATTCCCTACTGAGCTATATCCCCAGCCCTCGTACCCCTTTTTTGACATAGACCCATGCTAAATTGCCTGGGCAGACCTCTAACTTGTGATCCTCCTGCCTCAGTCTCCTGAGTAGCTGAGATTATAGGCATGCACCATCACCCTTGGCTTTTTTAACTTTTCATTACAAATACTTCAAAATACACAACAGTATAGAGAATAAGTATAATGTGTCCCATGAATACATTACTCTCCATTAACAATTAGTAAGATTTTGCATATTTTGTTTTTCTTATTTCTTTTTTTTTTTTTTGTACTGGGGATTGAACTCACGACCTTGTGTTGCCAAGCAGGCAATTATGCCGCTGAGCTAAACCCCTGGCCCTGTTTTTCCCATTTCTTTCTATCTTTTATTGCTGGTGTGTTTTTATCCCACATATCAAATATTACTAATATTTTACCCACAAATATTTTAGTATTAAGTAGACTTTTCTTCCCAGAGATACCATAGAGCATGCTTAGCACAGGTAAAGCCTTGAGTCTGATCCCCAGCACCACACAATAAATAAGAAAAAGTTTAAAAAGCATTGCTGGATATGGGGGCCCTCACCTGTAATAGAGGGTGAGGCACAGGGATTGCTGCATGTTTGAGGCCAGCCTGGGATATACAGTGAGACTCTGTCTAAAAAAAGACAGACAGACAGACAGATAGAATAAATAAACTGAGTATCATTGTCATACTTAATCAAATTAACAGTAATTCCCTAAGAGGTCAGATTAAGGTCAAATTGTGTAAGATTCCTCAAAATGGTTTTATTTTTAGCCAGGCATGATGGTGCACACCTGTAAACACAGCATTTGGGAGGCAGATGAATCACTGTGAATTTGAGGCCAGTGTGGGTTACACAGTCAGTCCAAGGTCAATCTGAATTATATTGCAAGGCCCTGTCTCAAATAAACAAACAAAAACCAAAAAAGGTGAGTTATTTTTTTTAAATTGCCCATGTTTAAGAGGTACAGTGTGGTAATTAAATATATGCCTATAATGATTAAAGCAGGATTATGAGCATTTAAGACCTTTAAATTCCTGTAGTCTAGATTTTTACAGAATGTACATTTTTTTTTTTTTTTTGGTCTTTTTTGAGACAGGGTCTCACTATGCAGTTCAGGCGGGCCTTGAGCTCACCTCAGCCTCCGGAGTGCTGGGATTACAGGCGTGAGCCACCACGCCTGGCTCATTTTTGTACACAATAGTTACTCTATGGTGCTATAGAATATCAGTGTTTGTTCCGCATATCTAATTGCATTTATCTAAATCTTCTCTCTTCTTGTCCTCTCTACCTTCTTCTCCCCAGCCTCTGATGACCACTATTCTACTCTCTACTTCTATGAAAGCAACTTTTTTAGCTTTCACATGAGAACATGTCGAATCAATCTTTCTGTGCCTGATTTATTCCATACTTTTTTTTTTTTAAGATAGGATCTCACTATGCAGTTCAGGTTGGCCCTGAAATCACTATGTAGCCCAGGCTTACCTTGAATCCCCAGCGACCATCCTACCTCAGCATCCCGAGTGCTGGGATTACAGGCATATGACACTGTGTTCCATTCATTTTGCCACAATCAAAAGAAAAATTTTAAAAAATAGTTGTCCTGTTCAAATCAGATTCATGCCCTGTGCATGACCGGTCTCCCAAAGTTCTTTAAAGCTCTAATAATCCTTAAAAAAACTTTTAAAAAAAATCCCCATTTATTTATTAAAGAAATATTTGACTAAGTAGAACTTCCTACATTCTGTATTTGGTTCAGTGCATCTTCACAATATAATATGCTTCATTCATAGTGTCTGTAAAATAGTAGTAGAGCCCTGATTCCCATTTTTAGGGTGGGTAGAATACGTCAGAGATGGTACATGTATGTAATGTCCTACAGCATCCTATGAGGACTAATTGTACCTTTTTCTTTTTCAGATGGGGGTCTTGCTAAACTGCCCAAGCTAGCCTCAAACTCATGATCCTTCCATATCAGCCTCCCAAATAGCTGACATCACTGGTGTGCACCACCATGTCTGGCCACTGGCTGTCTCATTTTTAATGGGTTTAAAATGACAAATAGGTTCAGGTTTTGACAACCTGATCCATCCAAGAAAATGTCTTTAAGATGAGGAAGTGAATAAAAGCATTGTGGGGAGGAGGTGATGATGCAAGCAAGCTAGAGCTACACCCTTACTATTATACGGTTATACAATGCATACATTTATGTGACTAGATGCCTGTATACATTTCCACGGCTATAGAAAAAACCTCCTTCACTCAACATTATATTTTCCCACAAAGGTATCAATCTTTATAGCCAAGTTCACTGTACATAAATACCACATTTTATTTATTATTTATTTATGTCTTTTTGAGACAATTTTACAGTCCAGTTCAGGCTGGCCTTGAACTCACTATGTAGCCTCTAACTTGCAGAGATTCTTTTGCCTCAGCCTCCTGAATGCTGAGATTAAAGATGTATGCTACCACACCTGGGTAATATCACATTTGAAACCATTCACACAAGCTTAAATACCTTATGATATCTCTCACTTGAGTGAGGAAAAGTATAGAGAAAGAAAGTGATAAAGGATAGACCAAATGGGTTAAGTCGATGAATCTTTTGCAACAGGGAAGTGCTCTAAGGGAACAAGGCTGAGGGATGAGGAGAAGGGGAAACAGAAATGAAAGGAATAAAGATGTGTCATGTAGCAGCATATGCCTGGCAAGCACCAGGTCCTTAGTTTGATTCCCAGTACTTAAATTAAAAAAAAAAAAGATGTCCCATATACAGGAACCTAATAACCTCAATTAATATAAATACTATATGAGGAGAGAGGCGCGAAAGCTCTGAGAGTGGGAAGCGGTGAATGGAGTTGAGAGCAGGACTGGCCGGGAGCCCTGCATAGACCTGTGGTGAGTGAGCGGATCGGGGACCCTTCTACAGAGTAAAAGACTTCAGCAAAGGACATACTGGGACTGGGCAGACTAGCCGGAACAGGATGCTGCAGTGACTTCAGTCACATATTCCCCTCTCAAGCAGGATTGGTGGGGAGTGCCTGGCCTGCGTGACGCCACTGACTAAGATCTAGTAGGCTAGCCCAAACCAGGTCCCAGCTCCTGGAGGTGCACCCTAGCAGTGAAGCCTTCAGTAGGTTGACCTGGAGGGGCGGGCCCAGCATAGGCTGCCTAGGTCTGTGTCTCTCTAGTATGCTGCAGTGGGCAGGAACACCTAGCCGGTGCAATTCAAACAAACTGTAACCAACAAAGAAAGAACCTGGGCCTCCTATATACGCTTGTATAAAAGGAACAAAAAATATGGGAAGAGGGAGCATCAAGAAAGTTTCCTCGGCCCCCAATCCCAAGAAACATGCAATATCAGATGCGGCACCAATAGACATAAAGTGCTATCTCCAGACGAGTTCAGGAATGAAGTTATTAATGACCTGAAGCAAGATATAAGTAGAATAGTTAGAGAAATGCTAAGCACCGCCCAAGAAAAAAATAGATGGTGGAATGGAAGAACAGAAAAAAAGGGGAGAATTGTTTGATGGAGAAAAAAGAGAAAACATAGAATATATGAAGCAAGTTCAAAGAGATTACCAGGAAACTAAAAACTATCGAAAACTGGCATAACAGCTTGAAAGAAACTAAGGAGAGATTATCTGAATTGGAAGGTAGATTTGTAATATGGGAGCATGAAATGAAAAACTTCTTAAAAATAACAAAAAAATCCCCAAACAGCAACAATACAAAGGCTAGAAGATGATAAGAGGATCTATAACTTAAGAATTAAGAACATAAGGGGCTGGGGACTTAGCTCAGCGACATAAGCGACTGCCTTGCAAGCAGGCAGTCATGAGTTTGATCCCTGGTACCAATAAAAACGAAAAAGACAAAAAAAAAAAAAAGAATTAAGAACATAAAAGAAGAAGTAGGGACACAAACAAATGGACTACAAAAGCTATTCACAGAAATAATCCAAGAGAATCTCCCTAATTTAGCAAATGGTAAAGATACTCAGATGCAGGGGCTGGGGATTTAGCTCAGCGGCAAAAGTGCCTGCCTTGGAAGCAGGCAGTCGTGAGTTTGATCCCCGGTACCAATAAAAAGGAAAAAAAAAAAAAAAAAAAAGATACTCAGATGCATGATGCATACAAGACCCTAGCCACCTACAACCCAAACAGAGCTACACCCAGGCATATAATAGTCAAAATTCCAGAAATCCAATATAAGAACAGAATATTAAAAGCCGTCAGAGACAAGAAACAGATCACTTACAAGGGAACACCCATCAGAATTACAGCAGACTTCTCGGCACAAACCATCAAATCACAAAGAGCGTGGGGGGAAGTAATTCAAGCTTTGAAAGATAACAACCTCCAGCCAAGATTGATACATCCTGCACAACTGTCCCTAGAAATTGATGGAAAAACAAGGTGCTTCCAAGATAAAGAGGAACTAGGGGAATTTGCAACCACCAATTCAACTCTACAGAGAATACTGCAGGATATTCTAAAAAAGGAAAATACCAAGATTCCAGAAATAGTGGCAGAGAGGCCACAATGAATGGAGCAGAAAGCAAAATGAAGAAGACAAACTGACAACAAACGACAGAAAAAGAGCTCAACAGAAATGAGGCAGAGAAGATCGGATGGTAGGAACAGCTATTTTGGAGAAAACAAGACATCATAATAGCTAGTGCTGATCTAGTATCATCTTGTTTTGAAGTCCCATCAAACTTGTATTCTTCTGTCTCCATTGGTCTTAAAAGGTTGTATCTTATTGGATTTTATTATATATAATATAAGTAAAAACTTTTATAGACAAGATTATACAGAAACCATTGTTCATTTTCTGTTAATTGGTTCTAAATACCCTGTAATAATGTCATTCTCTTGAATGGTTTTATAGTGTCTTGATAATGTTTGGTACTACAGTAACGAAGTTATACTCAAAGATTTCAAGGAAAGAGACACTATGGTAACTATTTTATGTCAGGATATCTTGTGGTGAAACACTGTTTTGCTTAAATGGTTATGTTTTGACCTGCGCTGTTCTGTTGTTATGTCCTCTTTTATCTCAATCCTCTTTTTTAAAAAATTATTTATTTTTTTCTTTTTATCTTTTTAATTAAGGGAAAAATAAATGAATAATAGCAGGATACATTATACTAACCTACTTTGATTTCCTATTAACCTGATTTGAAATCCTGTATTGCCCTCACCATCCTGTTTTGACTGATTTTCTGCTATTCTGCTTTGGTTGATAGTACCAAGTTCGAAAGTATAGCCAAAACTGTGAAGACAATAAGATTCTTTATGATGCCCATGCTAGTTGACTATTATCTTCTTTTAAAGTCCTGTAATGTCTCCAATGCTTTGGTTTTATTCTTTACTGTTTTGTTCAATTTTATTATAACTAGCAATTGTTAAAATAGCAAGAGGCAGTATGGTAACTATTGTTGATCACCTTGTATTTTGTTTTTACATTATCTATTATGTCCATCCTTTTGATTTGACTGACTCTGTTCTGGTATGTCGCATTTGGTTTTATTCTCTTCAAAAAAAGTAATAAGAACTGTGGGAGTAATAAAACCCAAAATGTGTAATTGTCACTGTACAAAAGAAAAGAAAAGAAAGTGCTC